CCCCGAGACTTCATCCTCCCACTGAATCCCCACTCTCACTGAGCCCCCATTCCCTCACGGAACCCTCAGTCCTTCACTGAGCCGCCCTCCCCTATTGAACACTCACCCCCTCACTAAGCCCCTCTTTTCTCACTGAACCTCAGTCCCTCTCTGGCCTTTCATTTCTCTCAGACACAAATGATGATCCAGGTCAGAACCTGGACCCTCTTCACCCTCCCTTCCCCTAGAATAGGAGAATCCGGAAGTGGAAACACACTATTCCCTATGTCCTCAGAGACGAATCTGAGGGACAGTCAGATTTGTAGTGGAAGGAGACCACCGCTGAGGAACTGTGAGGAAGACATTTCTCTCGAGGTTGGTCCCTGGGACCCCTAGATGGCAGTGGGCGGGTAGAGATGGTGCCTCAGTTGCAGCTGAAAGGCCTGAGATTTTCTCTGCACTCAGCGGCAGGTAATCAGAGGCTTTACGATGGCAGGAGACAGTAAGTGAGGAAGGTGGCAGGGCCGGGACTGAAATAGGCTGGGAGATGGGGGTGAGGGCACCAACAAGAGGGAAGGGAAGCCTTCCAGGAAGACGGCAGCCAAGGCAGCCTCCTAGCCTCTCCTCTCCAGCCCTGAGTTCCTTCTGCAGCCCTCAGAATTCAGAACCTCAACAGCCCTTGACATCTGAAGTCCAACCTTGTCATCTCACACAAGGGCAGGCGGGCCCAGAGAGTGCCTGGGATCGTGGATGCAGCCACGTTGCCCCGGGTCTCAGGTCTCCCCTTTCTGCCCAGGGTTCTTCTTGTGGACAGATCTACCCCTGGGGGAGGCCGCTGTGGCCCAGATCCTGGTTCTGAAACTAGAAACCTCCTCAGTGCCAGGGAATTGTGGGGCAGGCTCCCCCGGAGAGGGCTACTGGACAGACCATGGAAGATCAGTCAATGGGATCGGCTGAGATGGAGGTGGAGCAAGCAGCTTGAGCAAGCACAAGGAGGCAGGGAAGCCAGAACACACTGGAGCGTGAAACTGGGCACCCAAGAGCCTGCACAGGGATTGGGGGCAGGGTAGGTGGGTCTGGGGAGCTGGTGGGGGCCTCCTTGCTCCTGCCTTGACCCATCTCCACCCTTCTTCTCCCCGGCATCACCCTGAGCCCATTCTCTGCCTCTTCTCCTGGCGTTTTACCTATCTTTATGGTCCAGCCTCCACGTCACACCTGCTGCTGTTTGCCAGCCCTGCCAGCGTCCAGGGTTTCCTGGAAGAGTACTCCCCACCCCCCTCAGGCTCCACATCAGCCTGCAGACAGGTACCTCCACCTCCTGATGGGACTAGAGTCACAGAGATCACCACTGGAAGAACCCCATACCCAACCCTGCCCATTTCACTGAAAAAGGGATTGAGGCCAGAAGGGAAGTAATTATCTCAAGGTCACCCAAAGTTAAGCATTCATTGAAACTTGGGAATGCACCTAGCAATCGCTGAGCTCCTACTGTGTGCGGGGCACTTGGCACTTATTAGCTCATTTATCTAACAGGCCCTCCCCTTGAGGAAGGGCACAGTGAGGCAGGAACAGGGCCAGGCTAGAATCCGGGCCTGTCTGACTCCCATCCAGTGCTCTTCTCTGTTCCACATGCCTAGGTCTCAAGCCCTCACCCTGCCTGGAGCTCCTAGGAGTAGGGCCCAGCCAGCCCTGAGGCCTTTCAGGCCTAACTGTGAAGGCAGGTGCCCCACTGGACACGAGACACCAAGGTGGGCAGGCAGAGCGCAGACACCAGAGGGAGCGCTGGGACTAAACCTTCACCCTCAGGCCTTGCTGGCTTGATGGACATTGATCTCTGGGTCTCCTGGGAGGTCCCTGTCCCCCTCACCTGCCTTGCCCCCCTCATCCCCTAGCCCTACTCAGCCTTCTGAAATCTCTGACCCCTGTCTCCCAGCAGGCGCCATCTCCACTGAGCTCTGGGTTAATTGCATTTGAGCATTCACTTTTAATTGCTTTTTGGGGGTACCTTTTCCAAAGGCCTTGCTGAGTCTGCAGTGGCTGGGGGAGGATGCTGAAAGGGCTGCTGATATGGAGGACCTGGGTCCCTCAAAGATGCCTGACCCGCAGACACCCTCCCACTCTGCCATGCAGCAGAGAGTGGAGGGAACACTCACGGGTCAGAAGGGGCAATGCAAGCCATGTGGGATGCTCCCTCTGCTTCCTGGACCTGATAACCTGGCTCCCTCCCAGGAAGGCTTCCAGGCTGCTTCAAGGAGCCTTCCTGGAGGAGCTAAGCTCTTATTAAGCAAAGTTTTAGAATTGGGGTGGGGAATGCTGGCTCAGAGGAGAAAAGGGGACATTACCACTTTTTTTCCCCTTTAGGATTCCAAAGACCTTCCAGCTGTGTCCCATCATCTTATATGATAAGCCAGAGAGGAGTGGTCAGTGGCTTTGCTCACAAGGTTCTTGAGGGGAGACATTGTTAGGAGAAGCTGAAAGGAATTCATGAAGGATCAGAAGGTGGGAAGGCCCAGGGCTATCGGAGAGGCTATTGGAGGGGGAAGGGCTGAGAGAGGCCGAAAACCTAGAACCCAGGCTTCCAAGTGCCAGCAGGAGCCTTGGGACCACAAGTTCAACATCTCCAAAAAGGAATTCTTTCCGTGGCCTGTGAAAGAGGAGTGATTTATCAGGCTCAGCCACTACCCAAAAGGACCACATCCCTGGACCACTCAGCCTGCTGGAAAAGCCCTTGTCACAGGGGTGGGGTGCTGCCTTCTGGGAACACCTCCACCAGCAACTTCTCTGCCCTCACTTCCCCTCCCAGTGCTCCCTGGGCCCCACAACCCTGCATCAGTACTCAGCAGGCAATGGCCATGCCCCCTGGAGCCTGCCTTCTCCCCACCAGCCCTCAACACCTTTTCATCTGACAAAGTCTATTTCCCTTCACTGTCCCCTGAATGTCCAGGAGCCAGGAGACCCATGTCCCAGGCCTGGCTCTGCCTCATACCTGGCATGTGGCCTTGGGCATGTCTTATGACATTCACCCAACTGTAAACGAGACAGCTGAATTCAGTGGGTTTAGGTATCAGGGGATCACAGTGCACTGATCCCATTATCCTAAAGTCCATAACCCCAACATTCTTTCACGATGGTCATTGCCAGCAGGTACCCCCCATCAGGGATCAGCCTGTCTGAAATGCTTTCCATGTGTCCAAAGCAGTTGATCCTCCCAACAAATCTATAAGGTAAGTACTATTATTACCATTTCACAAACAAGAAAACCAAGGTGTGGGTAGGTTGTGTCATTTGCCCAAGGTTACACAGCTAGTAAACAAGGAACTGGGATTTGAACCCAGATAGTGGAGCTCCAGAACCCTCAGCAGGATCTCCCTGTTCTCAGACACAGAGGCTTGACACCACGAGTTCCTGCAGGCCCAGCAGTCTAGGATTGCAAGCCCAGCTACACAGGTAGTTCCCACAGCATGCTGGGATTCTAAGTGATTGACACCATAGTTCCAGTGGTGCAGCATTTAGGAGAACTCCACGAGGAGAAAACCCCACAGCTGGCACATTCCCTATGCCCTTCCATTTCCCCAACAGAGAGAAGACATTGCTTCTGCCCATCCATGCTGGGGTCAGTGACCTGGACAAGGAACTCCACTTAGAACACTGTCTGGGGTCAAGGCTAGAGGGGGAGGATCAGACCCGCTGACCTTGGAAGGTTCCTCAACCCTGAGAAATCTTGGTCATGCAAGAGGGTAGTGGGGAGGAGAGAGGATGACTCACCGGATTTTCCCCTCCTGGGGCAGCTCATGTGGGGGGTCCTCACACACCAGCCGGGACTCCCTGTCCAGCAAGTAGGTGTAGACAGTCTCCTAGGATGGAAGGCACTCATGAGACCCCACAGAGAGGCCCTCCCAGCTGCTCATCCACAGGGAGCAGAGCGCTGGCATTTGTGTTTGGTTGGTTGGCAGTTGGTTTGCTTTTGCTCCCCAGATGATTGTAACATGCAGCTGGGGTGGCACAACAGCCGTATGAATGGAACAGTTGGAGATTCTGGGCAGGCGCTGGTCCGTGAACCTGCAACTTTCTTCACCTATCGCCCCAAGTCCAAGGTCCTGGGAAAGAATCAGAAGGGCTGAAGGTACAGAAAAATCATCCCTGCCTGGCTCCATCCTCAAGCCTGAAAAAGATAACTGTGTAGGGGAGCAGCTCAGAATGCCCCAAAAAGCACTCTACAAGAAACCACATACCCGTGACCCCAGCAGGGGAGGCACAGAGCAGAGCACTGCAACCATCCTCACTGGGGCCAGGGAGGCTTCCTGGAGGAAGTGCCCTTTACGCTGAGAGGGACTTAGACACATTCAGAGAGTGGGCGGGTACAGAATGAACTCCTGGGCCTAGTAACAGGTATGCAGGTAGGTCCGGAGGTGTGAAGAGCATGAAACATTTATAGCGGGATGAGCTCCAGGCAAGCGGGATGGAGCAGGAAGCACCCCGCAAATAAGCCAGAGGAGGGACTGCTCGTGTTAGCCGGAGAGACAGACATTAGCAGATTTATCTGTATTTTGGACCAATCACTCCCCAGAGTGAGATCAAAGCTCTTGCTCGAGGCTTGTCAAGTCTTTGGCTCTTTAATTCTCCCTCCCCAGGAGCCCAGAGCAGTCTAGGGCTTCAGTTCACCCAGGCCACATCTTGACAGAAGTAGTTGCCCTCACTGACCTGCAGGCAAAAAATCCACATTCTCCACCAGCAGAACTTGGGACCCTTGGGAATCCCTAACCAAACCCCATTCAGCACAGCCTTGCTCTACTGTTTTATCTGTGGGAGAGTGCAGGAGAGCTCTCCTCCCTGCTGAGGGTATCCTGGAGGGCTTCAGGAGGAGGTGACAGTGGAGCTACGGTTGAAGGCCCACCCTCAGGAAGTGTGGAATCCTTCTCAGCAGAAGCAGTAGCCTGCCCTGACTCTGAGAGTCCACAATCCTGTCAGCCACTCCTGTTGCCCTTGGCTGTCCCCAGTCAGCCCCCGCCCCTACCCAATCCACCCCCACAACCCTGAGATGCCCCACCCACTATTTGTTAGGGCCTGAAGGAGGTGAGGGGGCACACACCCTCTTGTCTGGGTTGGAGCTCCCATTGGAGTCGACAGGCGAGGAATTCAGAGATAAAGAATTCTGGGGGAAAGAGGCCACCCACTCCTCAGCCATATTCAGCCTCCTTGTCATCCCATTCTTCAAGCAGCCTGGGAGGGCCCCCAGGTATCTGGCCCAAAGAAGTTAAGAGACCACCCAGGGACACACCCAAAGCCCTGCCCAGGCAGAGATAGAGGTGGGTAATCCGTGGAGCAGAGGGGAACAGATCCTCCCTTCATTTCTGAATGTCCGTGCATCTCCCGCCCCCTCACTCTCAGCCCTCTGGGTTAAAATTAGCTGGGTTTATTGGAGAGAAGGAGGGAGCCGTTTCAGACACATCAGCACCATCTGCATTCGGGGCTGCCTGCCACAATGGGTGCTGATGAGGAAGCCAGGTGCCAGCAGCTCTCCTCCCTGAGGGTGGGGGACCCCTCCCCATCTCTGCACCCCTCCCAGACCTCAGCTCCCTTGCCTCTCAGAGTGCTGAGCCCCTCCACGCACTCAAGCCAGGGCTCCCGAGAGTTGAGTCGGGGCTTCCCTGGCTCATACAGGTCTCTCGGGTGGCCCGGGGGACAGCTCCCACTGTCCCAGGAAACTTGACCACAGCTGGCAGCCCAACCCCCAGCTCTGGGGAGACAATAATTCAGTGCAGTGCATCTACACTGGCACAGCCACGAGGGTACCCTGCCTGGGAACACAGAGCCCGCTGCATCCTCCTTCCTGCCCCCACGGCAGCCTCCGTGGCCACAGAGGCACTCAGGGCCGCCCTGTGGAAACTGACTTGCCAGCTTCCCCTACCCTCCCTTTCCAGATGTGCCTCCACCCCAGGCCAGATGTTGCCTCATCCCTCTCCAGGACGATTTATTTTTGGGCGCCAACACACCACCCACTTCCTACCAATTTCACACTCAATAAAGCTCACTCATTAGCCCTCCTCCTGGGCTCTAAACTTCTAGGAGGTTTTGGGAAGGCAGAGCTGAGGCGAGGGAAGAGGAGGGCTTTGGTGCCAAGTCCCATTTGTCCCTGTCATGCTGTGTGACCTTGGGGGAAGTGCCCTCCTTCTCTGGGCCTCTGGTGGTTCATCCATCAAGCAGATTCAGGGACAATGAGCTCTGGCGGGGTGGGAAGGTCACATTCTGAGTTGGTCGTATTTCCTGGAGCAGAACCCGCCCTTGGCTGGAGTAGGGAAGAGGACATCAAAGGCCATCAGGACTCAGTCTGGGCATCTCCTCCTACAGGAAGTCTTCCGTGCCCTGAGAGTATACCCGATCCCCTTCCAAAAGCCCCAGCTTCCCTCTGTCTGATACAACTGACCCCTGCTGCTTTGGACCTTGAGAGTTGGTTTACCCACTCTCCTGCCTAAGGATGACAGTGGCCATTAAAGCCACGTTGTAAAGTGGCTTGGGGCAGCTGAAGAGGGGCACAATTCCCCCAAGAAGACACTCTGGGCTCAGGCAACGATGATCATCACCCTCAACCTACCCCAAACCTGTAACCCATCCATGGTGTTGAGATGGGACAGAGAGAAGCTGAAAGGCCTCTAGAGGCCATTTTTTCAGCCTCCTGCCTCCAGGCAAGGCGCTTTAACCCAATTCATCAAGGATGAGCCCTATTCTAGCACCTTCCAGATCTGGTTTCCAGGAAGTCCTTTCACAGGTCTGCCCTCAACCTCTTCTGCTGCACATATTCCAAAACCCATCTGACTCCACCATGTCCTAACTGTTATCCTAGGTGAATCCTTTCCATTATTTGAGACACAGTTTTTCTAATTAACCTTTACGGTCCGTTCTGGCTAAGATATTGCAGGATTCCTATGCAAGTTTATTCTTTGGAGCCTAGCTTCAGGTCTCCTCCTCCAGGAAGCCCTCTCAGAACACTCATCCAGACTTTTCATGCCCTCAGTGAGAGTCCTCTGAGCAGGGATCCTGCCTCTTCCTCACTCTTTGACCCTGGGTGAGATACAGCTCGAAGTTGGTCAAAGGTTGGGGGTGGGGTGGAAAATGTGGGGCAAAGGCGGTCACCTACCACTTTGGGGAGCACAGCTGACAGGGCCTCCTTGACAGCCTGTTGCAGGCCTGCAATGTCGATGACAGAGCCCAGGCTCAGCAAGGCATCCTGCAAGAAAGGAGAGGGCAGTGAGGGGCTTTGCCAGACAGGACAGGGCAGCCCCGGCCACTCAGAGTGCTGTGAGCACAACCCCTCCACTGCCCGCGTCACCAGTTTAGATCAAGCCTGAGCCTCTCAGACACTTGCATCCCAGGATCTTAGAATCTCAAAATCAAACAATCAAACAAAATCAAACAATCTACGTCTTAAGTCCATATAACATCCAAGTCCCTGCATCTTACCGATGAGGAAATTGAGCCTCAGAGACAGACCAGGGACTTAGCAAGGCCTCACAGTGAGTCAAGAGGTTAAGCCTGGACTGGACCCCAGGTCACTTGTCCTTCAGTCTACAACAACTTTGGCATAGTAGGGAAAGCACAAGCCTCCACATCAAAACAAAGCAAGCAAACAAACAAAAAAAAAAATTTGAACCCTACCTCCACTAAGACTGGGTGTCTTGGTTGAGTCACTGAGCCTCAGCCTCCTAGCTGTAAATTGGGGCAACTGTGGCTATTGCCCCTTAAAGCTAACATGAAGACAAAAGGAAAGTGAGCCCTAAAAAATGAAAATAAAAATGAGATGGCACACTGGAAGTGCCCCCGGAGCGTCCAGCACAGACCAGGTACTCAGCGAATGTTGTCCGAAGCTGGGTCCCACTCACTTTCCCCAGAAGGGAGGTGGCCTCACCCAGGCTCACCCAGGCTCAGTTTCCAGCCTAGTGAAGGACCGTGTTGAGAGCAGCCAGGGTTCAAGGGGTGCATGGCCCATAATGTGGGAGAGTAGTAGGGCCACCCCTGCAGCCCCGGGAGGGGAAAGAGAAGCCAGCCTTGACTGCTTACAGCTTCCCATCCCTGGAACAGGCCTCGTCCTTGCAGAGCCAGAACGGAGAAAACAAAAGTCCCTGCTTCTCGCTCTATTAACTTGGCCAGAGCCACAGGGATCAAAGAGAAAGGTAACGGAACAGGGGATTCAGGGCCAAGGCAGGATCGTGACTCACACCATTCCACCAGCCGTGCCCTCCCCACAGCCCTTGGAAGTCCTTAAGTCCTTTCACATGTCTTCCCTGTGGATGTCTGGGTCTGTGTTCAGAAAGCAAAGTGATTAACTAGAAGATGAAGAAGACATGGTTCAGCCCTCATTCATTTGAAAATGATATGAAGTTGAGGGTCTTAGCAGACCACAAGCTCAGCATGAGCCCACAGTACAAGAATGGCTGGTAAGGAATAGAAATGCTGAAACTGCAGGCCATAATAATAGAAATATGTCAACCCAAATAGAGAAGATGACAGTTCCTCCACTTCTATAGTTGGGTTAGATCATGCCCAGTTCATTGCGTCTCAGGACAAGACTCATTCAGAGGAGGTGACTCATGTACAGAGGGAACTGGAAACCAAGTCCTGCATGTGAGTAAGACAGGATAGCCTAGGGATGGTTCATCAAAAGCAGAGCATACATGGTTATCAGTCTAATTCAAATCTCTGAGCCTCTCAGGTGGGAGGACTGAATTCTGTGGCCCCATGGACAGCCTGGGAGCCCATAGGATTTCACAGGAGGCTGGCCTTGGGCCAGTGGGACAAAGGACCTTCTTCTAAGCAGAGCCATGCTACACAGGAGAAAAGGAGGAAGTGAGCTCCCCATCCCCAAGCATGTGCAAGAATGGGCTGGATGTCCATTTGTCAGAAAGGCTGCAGAGTGGAGTTCTCCACTGGGATCTAGATGAAACCTGAGATCTGGGCGTCAGCTCCAAACTTCACTCTTGGGTCTTCTTGGCTGCAGTTCCCTCCTCTACTCCCACCCAATTCTGTGTTCCTAGGAGGAGGGGGGCAACAGTGGACTCCCTCCCCAAATGCCCATTGGCATTGCTTTCCCAACTCCCAGCCTCCCTGTGACCCCTCCCATTGTTCAAGGATGAAGACACATCTTGGCCATGGGGAGACGCCCACCCTTGGTCATTGGAAGCAACGGTTCCAGACAGCACAATCCCCAAATTGGAAGGTGTGGTTCTCTGACCATCCCCTAGCACTCCTCAGCACAGTTCATGTGTCCTCAGCACCACACAGCCATAGACCCCCACATCCTCACAGACACCCTCCAGGCATACACACACACACACACACACACACACACGCTCTCACCAGAACAGCTACCTCCTATGGATTCACAGGGTAAGGGCTCAACGGACTGCAGCACACACAGTACACATGTAGGCTACTGTGGCCTTCCAAGGTCAAGTCTGAAGACTGAAAAGGGAAGAAAGAGCTGGTGCTCCAAATCATCCCCAAATAAAGTCTGCCAGACCCAGGCTTCCCAGACTGGGGCCCCAAGGGCAGGGTGCACAAGGTGGTATTGGTCTATTCCTTCCTGGAGGTGGGGGGTCGACCAGCTGACCCCTCACCCTGTCCTCAGTGGAGTCTGATGTGTGTGCAGTGAAGTTAAGGAGGAAGGACCCAGGTGATACAGTGAGACTGATGCAGCGGAGAAATTCCTCAAATTAAAGGCTTCAGACAGCTAAGTGTCCCCATTTGGCAGATGAGGAAACTGAGGTTCAGAGAGAAGCAATGACCCACCTGTGGTCAGCCAGCCAGTTATGACAGAGCCATCCAGGACCCAAACTCTGGATTTCTAGCCCATGTCTGGTTCCTACTCAGCACCCGACCCCCGCTCCCACCCTAGGGGGCTTAGAAAGAACAGGCTGTCCTTTGCTCGGATTGGTGGACTCTTCAACCTGCCCTTTGCTTTGACTGGGGGATGCCCTGGACTGTCCTTTTCTGGAATTGGTGGGTGCCTGCCTGGCCTTTGTTCTGACTGATCAGTTTTCTGGGACTTTTCAGGCCAAGGGCAGGATAATGGCAGTGGAGGGAGTTGGAGCAGGAGTAGGGAGGGGGTTTCACATCCATGCCAGAGTGGGCTGGATGTAGACAGGCCGATGAGACCCAAGGCTCTGGGCTGGCATCCTCTGTCTCTCTACTTCCTGGCCTGCTCAGCCTGCCCCAGGAGTAGGGGGTGCTGGGTGTGGGAACTGCAGCTGGGAAGGGCCACTTCAGATACTCAAGGGGGCCTTCAAGGCTTGTACAAATGCCACCTCCTCTGTGAATCTTCCCCAGATCTCATGGCAACCTCACCTCCATTGTACCAACTCAGGGAAGGAAACAACTCCAATTCCAAAGCCCATGGTGTGTGGGTTCTGAGGATAGAGTGGCTGCTTCAGCAAAGGAAGGAGAGACTCAGTGGGGAACAGCTGAGAGGGGGACGTGGGGAGATGTCTGAATTGGAGGCACAAATGGGGAGCCAGGCTCAAGTCAGGGATCGGATCATAAAAGGAAGTGAAAAGGAAAAATACAGACAGCCATCCCTGCTCACATGCCCACCTATACGTGCCACACAAATACACATTGCCACACACACACCTCTGCCCATACATATATGTGTACACCCTCACACAAACACACATAGATAAAAATGCAATCATAGATCCAGTGCACATGCATGTGCAAACGCACACATGCATGTGCAAACGCACACAGACCAGGTTCAGGATGGGGTAAAGGAGGTCACATTTCCTGCCTTCACAGTTTTTTCAAACAAACATCATATAAATATCAGCATAACAACCAGACAATTTCCCTGACCCCAGGGGAGAATATGTAGTGTGCAGGAAACAGCAGTGACTTCCAGTCCTGTCCCAGATTGACTATAGAAGTTCTGTGATCCTAAGCAGGACCCTCTCCTCTTCTGAACCTGTTTCCTTGTTAGTAAAAGTAGGTATTTCTAGCTCTGCAGCATATAGTTATACGGTTTTGTGGTTTAATTCAATGAGGATAAATGGATGTTTGGGTAAGTGCGTGGATGAATGGATGGGTGGGTGGGTTGGGTGGGTAGAAGGATGGATAGGGGGTGGATGGTGAGTACATAGGTGGATGGATAGGTGAGTGGGTGAGTAGATGGATGGAGGGAGGGTGGATGGTGGATAGATAGGTAGGTGGGTGAATGGATGGGTCGATGGGTGGGTAGATGGATGATGGGTGATGGGTGGACGGGTAGATGGGTGGATGGATGGGTAGATGGATGGGAGGATGGGTGGATGGGTGGATAGGTGGTTGAGTGGATGGTGGGTGGATGAATGGGTAGGTGGATGGATGGATGGGTAGATGGTGGGGATATAGAGACACATAGGATCTTCCTGCTCTCTCTGGCTCCCTACCTGCAGTTTTGTGGTCCAAGGTAGGACCAGTCAGCACCACAGACAGCGCCACTCCCACACACTAGTCTTTCATTCATCCCAGGTATGAGAAAGGAGATCAGTTCTGAGTCAGACCTCCTCAGAGGCCAGGGTTGGGGCTCTGCATTTCTGGGCTAGAACAATATTTCTACATACGTCTGGAGAGAGGAAAAGGTCTGCACGAAATTACTTCTAACTCCTTAAAATCTACGATTATGTGAAATCAGAGACTTTGACCTTATCCCCTCCAGCGCCACCAGCACAGGGACTGATGCCCTTCCAAGGGTCAGGTCACTGCCACTAGCTTCTCTCCTATCTCCTCTCCACTAGTCTCGATGTCTTCGCCCACCTCCACACGTCCTCCTATTGCTCCCCCCACTGTCTGGCACTGACCCCACACTTCTTTCTCTGAAACAAAACCTCGCAGTGCCCCCGCTGGCCTACGAGGAGGTAATAGCACCTGCCAAGACTCAGGCTGTGTTACAGGGACAGGTCACCCATACCGATTCATCCAGCTCTGCCTGTACTAGGTCCACCGTGAGGCCTGCGCTAGGTTCTCTGTGAGGACTGTGCTGGGTCCCCTGTGAGGCCTGTGCTGGGTCCCCTCTGTGGCCTCCTTTCTCTCCGGTCCTTGTGTCTCCTCTAAAGGGAGGGGACCTTTCAAGAGCCACCAGGACCTCGGAGCTCCTCTCCCGCTCTGCCCCTCTTCCTTCCCTCTGGGTTGGAGGAGGGGCTTGCGCAAATGCCACCTCCTGTGAGCCTCTCTGCCTCCCTCCCTACCTCCCTCGGC